ACATGGCGTGTTACCCATCGGGAATATACGTGACTACGTAGTAAGTACATAGTTCAATGTGCGTGTTTTGTGGAGGCGCCAGTGGATAGACTCCATTAGAGTTCCTACAATAAGAGTTAGGACACTGTTATAGCTTTGTCGAACTCTAAGGCTCCATTTAAAACGCGGACACGTTCACCGCAGAAATTTTTCAAGGATTTTTTTGTAGGAAAACGCAAAAACCGAACAAAGTTAAACTTTGCATATTCTTTTAGACGATAGCCACATTTCTCTCAAATAAAAAAATTTTTGGTTTTTGCGTTTTAGATACCTAAAACGGCTAGAATCATTCACACCGTCCATCATTTATACCTTCTAGTGACCAGGATATAACATAGAAAAAAAGCATTTTTGTAATTTAAAAAATATAAAAATAATTTCTAAAATAAGGCTAAAAGAACATGTAAAGTTCGACTTTCAACGGAAAAGTAACGGGAAAGAGATGTAGTATAGTGGAGAGTTAACTAGTCAGAGTAATTCCGTTTTAATTCCGTAAAATAATAAATCTTATAGATATAAAGTCTAAGCGTAAAATGTTTGCCATGGAGAAACGGAACACGACCACGAAAAAGTGGAACGAAATTAAAACAAAATTAATCTGATTGGCTTACTCCCCGCTATATCTGTTTTCCGTTACGATTCCGTCCCGTTATTTTTTTTCCATCAGAATTCACCCTTATTATTAGTTACGCGCGTCCTTCGGTTTCGGTTCGTTGTCTTCAACGCGAGCGCTAAGGAGGCTACAGTTGACGTCGATACGAAAGTTGCGCTGAAAGTTGCATCTAATGTCGAATTTTTGTTTCATCTTCTGAACAAGACAAGATCGTTTTCACAGTTTTTATAAAAAAAGAACCGTTTTAACAGACATCTAAAATGAAAATCATCATAACGTCGTTGGTTTTAAGTGGCTGCATTTTATTTGTCGACTTATGCACAGTATGCACTTGTAAAAAATCCGATTTAGATGTTACAACTCAATTGCCAACTTACATAATATTTTGTGACTCTTGAGTGTGATCATACGTTAGTGATATTTAATAAATACTGTATCTATTAATACACACACTGAGTTGTTCCATTCAGTGCCGATGACTATACATTATACATGTGTATTGAAGTATTTCCCACAAAGACATAAGCATACCCACGTTCTCTGCATGAGTCATGAGCATATTCATTCATGTCAATACTGCACTTAGACTCGAAATTTCGTAAATCTAAGGTCAAAATTGGAATCAGCGACACCTTCAAATACACTCAGCAAAAACTTCCAAATGCAATATATTTAAGAAAAAAAATTTCTTTTATTTGACCGTATGCTTCCTGCAGCGGAAGCCACTTTTGTGGCTCCGAACAAATCTCGACATTTTGCGTCATGTGTATGTTATTTATATATGTATATGTATTTTAATTTATATTATTAATATATGTAATTATTTTGCTATATTAAGCATCAAAGGATTACCTAGATATTTTTTCTTCAATTACGTTTTCGTTTAAGTAACGTGTGAACATGATAAGGTCTTTGTGATTAATGGGATATGAGTAGAATCGCTCTTCAATATGTTCCACATGACAGTTCGCATAAATTGTTGACACACGTGAATAAGCGACTGCAAGGTAAACGTTAAGTGTAATTAATGTTTCTTTCTTAAAATTAATAAAAATTGCAAAATATAAATATGTTTTGCTTATTATTATTACCGGAACACATATTAGCTAAAGGAATTACTTTTAGCATGTGCTTTGCAAGTTTTAAGATGGTAGCGGTAGGATTAACATTTATTATCGTAGAACTTTTGATGTTCTTGTTGAATCGTACGTTTGCTGCTAAGTGAAAAATTATAGATACCTATAATAAATATATACATGCTTTAAGTAGAAAAAGGTACAGAATTTATTTTTAATTGTATCAATAATTATAATTAGATACATGTAAAATATATGTGCTTTTTTAAATATGCAATTCATTTTTATATTGTATTAGAATCCCTTACAAAAGTATTTCACCGTTTTTACACCTTAGATCGTTTTTAGCCCGTTTTTAGCCTGTTTTATCATTTTTATGTCCGTTTCTTGCACTCTCAAGCATGCGCAGTCTACTACGAAAGAACATGATGAGTATACGCGAGTATGCATATAAGTATTTTTGAGTAGATTGTCCGTTTTTAATACTCGTTTTTCA